GTTTTTTTATTTATTGTCAAAAATAGTGAACCTTGATTAAAAGAAAAACAATAATTCATTTTAACAGAAACTATTATTATTTAGTCAACAAATGATGTATTTTAGGAAATTTTTAATGAAAGATTTGTTGTCTCCTAAATATTTATTTGTGTATCAAATTGAATACATATTTGAAAAAGAATAATTTTATATCAAACCTTATCTACAACCCATACATACGTATGRATATGAGTACTATACTATATAGAGACTACACAGATCTTTTTTATTTTTCTATTCTCAATGATACAGTATTATTGTATTCACTCGAACTAATCGTCTTTTTTTTTGCAGTCCATTTCAGTAACAGTTTTTCGTCAAATATTCGTAATGTATTTTGGAGTGTTGGTACAGAGTGGAACGTATATAGTGATCGAAATTAAATTTATAATTTTGGAAAGTTTTATTTAATTTCCTTTTTTCTTTTTTTCTCTTATTATTGTAAATTTAATTTTTTGTCTAAATATGATTGGTTCACTTTACAAATTTGAATTTCATTTTTAACACGTTGAGTTCCACGTTAGTCACTGTTGATTGACATAATTGTTATTTATTTATACAAATATAAGTAACACGTGAGGTCTGACGGTGATTTTCTTAAAAATTTGCGTAGCGCTCGACGTGTTAAAGAAATCAATTGACTTGATTATGAAAATCCATCGTATGATGGAAATTATTCCGAAGAAGACATCGATGGATTGAACAACAACAAATTTCTTATAGATATGAAAATATATTATTTCTTAATAGCGTAAAACAACTCTTACTTTTTTTTAGCAAATTAATATTTCGCATTAAACGGATTATAATTATATTATTTTTATCGTCATTATACTTTCGTACTTATTATTGTTTATAGATAAGGTTTCGGTGTCTGGCGGGATGATATTATTTTATTTTTTGATACCGTAGAGCATATCTACCGTATAAATTCTAGGCTCCTGATATTATAATAAATAACGTATTATTACCTCAGATTTTTAAAAATACCATTGGAATTGTAATTTTTTTTGAAACTTTCAATAGTGTCTGCTGTAACTTTACCACCGTCACAATTGTCTGCCATTATTTTTTTTAACAACAATAATAGTAAATAATAAAATATCCAGATGACAGCCTTGGTAAAATGCTTTTGAAGTTGGTCTAAATATTGTACCCGAGCTACTTGGGTGACTCTATGTGGGCCGTCGATGAGCTTCGTCAGTTTCCCACGAATTATACTTGGTATAAGGGATTGAATAAACGAAATTTAGATTTTAGAAAATTACATGCAGTTTGTTGGCATTATTACGTTTCTATATAAAAATAATTTTCTAACGAATTTTTATTGAATTATTATAAGAGAAGATAGTGTAATAAAACACGTAATAGAAATAAATAACAAATCCAACGAAAAAAGACGTGCGATCAAAGAATAATTTATCTAGCACAATTATTAAACATTTCAATAAGATAAGGAAATCTTAGCATTTTTTCTCGAATAATTAAAACTAATCGACACGTTTATATAATTATGCAAAGAAAAGTTATTTCAATCTGACATTAATTCGATACACTACTCACCTAATGTATCTTTTTTATCTAGTAATTATTTATTAGCATAATAAAAAGTCAAACAGAGCGAAGGAAAAAAAACAAGGTTTCTTTAATAAGAAACTAAGTTATAAACATCGATTAACTTCTACTAATGTAAAACACCACATAGATTGAGAATATGGAAAAGTAGTATTAATACGCACGGAATAAATGAATTAATAAAATACATTTTTTTGTCTAATATTGTTCACAAGTGCAGACGGTATCCTTGACACGTGGATAAAGTAAGATCTTGATTTATGCAACGTCTGGAGACGCAAAACGTTAATACTAAGGCGTGGCTTGCCCTCTCTCTTACAATTACATTTCACCTTCATTTTCTCGCTTATTTTTGCAAATACGAAGATACACTTTACAACATTTTTTATGTATTTTTCAATTCTCTACAACTTTTGTTTGAAACTTTTTTCGATTTAATGCTTAGATTCTAAGATACGGCTGTTTTTTACCCTTTTTTACCCTTTTTCTCAAAGATTTCCTGATCCAATTGCACAAAAATTAGCACCATTCGACTCAGCGTCGTCGAATTACCATTATATTAAATTTTTGGCCGGGTGCCCAAAAAGTCGGCAGTTTTCCTGTTATTGACTGGACTATAATTAAATATTCGAATTGTGTTTTGTGTCAATACTCTCGTTGTATTCCATAATAATGAAGTTGTCCTAAAAAAATAAAACAAAAAAGGAAAGAAAGAAAGAAAGGAAAGAAAAGAAAAGAAAGACACAAATGGAAAAGTTTTACGGAATAATTTATAAGGTTGACTAAAAATCGTGACACTGATCGAATACAAGTCACACCGTCGATTCGTTTTTTTTATTACTTTCGCACTTTTCTTCGAACACGAACACACTCACACACGGATACACATACATACATCCTTCATTCGGAGTAAAATAATTTCACTTTCGGTGTACCCCGATAATTAATGTAAATATGCTTTTGTAACGAGATACGAATGAAATAAGCAAAGTATAACTCGCTGCTAATCTTTAAAAGTTACATAAGTAAAAGGAAGAATGCATTTTTTCTATCTTTCTTATTTTTATTCAGATGTATTATTTTTCTTCAATATATTTTCAATGAGAAATATCTATCGAGAAAAACGAAAAATAAATAAAAATATCGAATATGACAAATGTTTGCATCGTTTTTGCATATTTTAACATCTAATAATAAGATGTTTTTACATTTCCTTTTTTTTACATCTACGCGTCGATGTTTTGTTCGAATGAATTGTCTCGAATGAACAAAATATTAACAATTATTGATCAGCATTTGTTGTTTTAGAAAATGACGTTGCTACCACCAACGGTGGAACAGCAAAAACGGATCAATGAAGAAATTCCAACGGATCCGGAAATGGTGAAAAGAGATATCATTGCTATTCGTGAATGGCTTTCCAAACAATTGCATTTGCCAAATCATATGGGTAATTAAAATTCATTATTAAACATGTAATATATTCAATCATTACTTAACAATAATAATTGTACACGAGTTTCGTTGAATTATTTCTAAATTATTCGAGTTCATTTTGTCACGGCTTTGTTTTTTTTCTTTATTTTTTTTTTCTTCTTTAGATAGAAAGAAAAAGAATTTTGTTTTTTTTTTTTTACAATTGACACTAGAAATGTTTAAAAATAAATAAAAATTCGTTCATTTTAAAATAAACGAAAAAGATAATTATTTATTGTCGCGTCGCGATAATATGCGGATATATTTACTTTATTTTCCATACATACTCGTCTTTATATTGAAATATAATTGATAAATAATTCAAACTGAAGTGTCTCAAAATAACTCGAAAATGAAAAATATCGCGACAAACAATTAGACCATTTTCGTAGCTGCGTTAACTTGTAAATTTTGGATTTACATATTTACAGACGATACCAGGCTGAAACATTTTCTATTCGGTTGTAAAAATAGTGTCGAACGATGCAAACTTATTCTAGAAAAATATTTCAGCGTTCGCACCGCATTGCCGGAATTTTTTTCCATTCGCGATCCTCTATCGCAAGATATTCAAGATTGTTGCGAATCCATGTAAGTATTCTTCACATAGATACAATTTTTTATTTTTTTTGTTTTGTTTTGCTTTTGTTTCTGTTTAAATAATGATAATATCAAATAAATTGCAACACACGAGATAATATTTAATTCGTCCCAAAAAAAAAAACAACGCGCGTTTAAATTTGTTAAAAGCAAACGTTATTAATTAACATTCTTTTTTACACGAGATATAACAATTCAACAGTGTATCAGGATGTTAAAAGAGAGATAAGATCATTATGTATTATTCATTTTTTTTTAAATTATACTTGAACTCTCTAGTATTTATAGATACGTGTAATATTACATGGAAATTTATTCACGTATATGGATAGATATTAACATTAATCATATATACTAATGGTTTATTTAATTATTTGTTTTTTTCGACAGGCAATATTTCGTTTTACCGTCTTTAACAAAAGAAGGATATAGAGTTACAGTTTTTAGATTAATTGATACAGATATCGACAAATTTAATATTCAAGCGATAGCCAAACGAATTTTAATGGTACAGGATATTCGTTTAGTGGAAGAACCATGTTCATCTAATGTTATGGTCATAGATTTCGAGGTATGTATTACGTGGCAAGTTAAACAATTACAAAATATATTTATTCCAATGAATTTTTCTCTCTTGTAATTAGTTAATACAGGATAAGTCAGAAGATATATTAGATGTGATATTTCAAATAATCATTTATTATTATTTTAAGCTAATATTTTCTTTTCAAATGATGTAATTATACAAAGTTTGCTTTTAAAATTCGAAGCATAATTATAAGTCAAAAATACTTTCGGAAGTGAATTTTTTATATCACCTAAAAACTTTACTGACCAGTCTTGCGTAAAAATATATTTTAAAAATCTCAATCATAGTATTTGTCTACTTACATATGCGTTTAATGATTACTTAAGGTGTTATTTTAAGTCATTTTTCGTGTTTTTATATCAATCGTTAGATATTTGAAAAGAAAGAAGAAAAAAACCAGTCAAACACACACACATGGTACAATAATATTTAATAAATTTTTTACATACTAGTGTGAAATATTTGAAATAACAAATATTAAATGAAAGATAATTATTTTTTCTTAGGGATTTACTGCAGTACACACTGCTAAATGCAGTCCAACGCAAACTATAATAAGGCGAGCAATGTTGGCAATACAGGATAGCATGCCTATGCGACTTTACATGGTTCATTTTTTACATGCACCTAATTTCATAGTTAACGTTCAAAATCTATTTTACCCGTTGCTCAAAACAAAATTAGTGGAAAAGGTATGTTTATTCGCGCCGCAATTTGTTTAATATTTCAATCATATTATTCGTTTAAATTGTTATATAGTATTATAAAAGAACAAATTAAATATTAAATATTTTTTTACAGTATTGCCGTTAAAAAAACATATGAAAATTGTTAATAAACATGTATAGAAAGTAAACGAATATTTTTATCGTAATAATAAAAAAAAAAAAAAAAAAAAAAAAAAAAAAAGAAATAATTTGTTATTTCGTTATATATAGAAATAAAAAAAAATGAAATGATAATTTATTTTTCTAGTTTCGTATACACTCGGGTGGCGGTGAAGAATTGTATTCATACATGGATCAAGAAATTTTACCTAACGAATGGGGTGGCAAAGCTGGTACACTTGCCGAACTTAATGGTACTCTTTTATTATTTATTTTATTTTCTTTTTTTTTCTTTTTTTTTTTTCTTTCTTTTTCTCTTATTTATTTTTCTTTTTTTTCTTTTATTTTTTTTTTTTTTGTATACGTATCATTACGTACACATACCGGGAGAAATAACTTGAGATGAATTTACAATTGAATTCGTAAAAACGTAGGTAACATCATAACGTAACGAGATAAATAGAAATGTAAATTAGTGTTTGTAATACAAACGAGAATTTGCTCGATTGCAGATGCTTGGAAGAAGAAAATCGAGAGAAACAGAGATTGGTTATTGAGAGAAGGGAAACTCAGTCGTACTGACGAGAGTGTTCGTTTACCAGACACGAAACCAGGTTTTTTCTTGGAACTCAATGGCGTACAAGGTTCTTTTAGAAAATTAAATATCGATTAGAAAATACCAAATTATATTACGAGATAATAAGATATAACTGACACTGTGAAAACAACATCCAAAAATATACGATTGGTTGACAAGTAATGTTCGACATTTTCAATATAAAATGTATTGATATTAATTATTTCACAATAATAACAAACAAAAAAATATATATATTGTACAGTTTTGTATACATAAATATAAAAATAATTAAACATTTTCACACAATAAAAAAGTTACATTATTTGTGTTATTTATTTCGATATAAATTATTTGAAATTTGGACATTACTTATATTGGCCAATTCAATATTATTTATAATAAAATTTGCAATAAAAATAATAATATCGTATTATTGTGAATTACAATATACCTAAATATATCAAAGATTATCTCGTATTTATACAATTATACAAAACGGTATATTATATTTAAATGTCAATGAACAAATTTCCACAAATATTTTTCTTACTTGGTTAAACAAATAGTAAATTTGTAATTATATTTTATCGACATTAATATATACCTACACAATGTTAAATCATATATTCCAAAAGATAGCGCCACAATACGTCTCAACTAAAATATACACTACAACACAACATATTATAGATTTTATCTTCATTCAAGTTAGGTAGTAGAGGGGAGTGAGGATTTCATTCATTGTCATTCATTAACTTGCAACTTTAATAATCGATGTGTATGTATATTCGTTCTTATATAAATCCTATTTCTATTGATTTATAAACGACACGCATATATAATAAAATAATCGATATTTTATTAAAAGGGGTGGGGGGGGAGGCGGGAGGGTGAGGAGGAATCATAGAACGCGGAGTTTAATATAGTTATAAATAATAGAAGAAGAAGAAGGAGAAGAAAAAACAAAATTATTTTACACTTTTTATCATACGATGAAAGAGAGAGAGAGAGAAAAAAAAACGAAGAAAAAAAAATTATTCGCAAAATGTTCGGCATGTAAAAATTGATACGAAATGTTTTTAATAGATAATAAAATAAAACACACAAATAAGTAAAACTTTTATCAAACAATATACGAACATAACGTGAACACATTCTTTCTTAAGGTGTCCTTAATTCGCGTTTTCTTATCTAGAAAGTAAATTGGTATAATACATATACGTAATACTTACGTGTATAAGTATATATATATATATATGTATACATTATATATTATATAAAGATTTATTTTTACGATCAGTTTAAACAACGATAACGCCAAATTATTGAGCTTTTGCGTTATGAATTGTGACGACATTTACAACGATGTCCACTGGACATCTTTTGTCCTCGCTTAACTAACTTAATAACCTAATGATGGCCGACTTCGTTCCATAACAGCATCATATAAGAATTCTCCATTATATGTGTATATGTAATATACGATATGTACATATAACGCGTATTACGAACATATTGTTATAATTTTATAATTGTTTTATAACAATACAATAGATAATTATTATTACCGGATGACATAGGAATCGTGATCAAATATTTTTCATTTTTATCAATGTATAATATAATAATAGTTTGATCTAAATAAATAATATGTATATTGAATATAAAAATTTGGCTAGTATATATAATACGAAAAGAAACAAATATTAAATATATCTGTTTTTGTTTGTTTGTGTGAAATTACATTGTAGAAAGGATTTGAATGAAATCAATTTCAAATCAAGGAAAAAAATATCTTTATAGATATGTTAATT